AAATTAATAATTTTTACAAAGATAAATTGGCGTTTGATTTTAAAAATCCTCACATGGTTAGTACAATTCGCGAAGAAAAACAGAAAATTTTAGGTAATTACGAGAGAGTGGCACTTAAAGTAATATTTTCGGAAGAAATACTAAAACAATTAAATGTCGCCTGTGAACAACAGAAAGACGAAAATTTAGAAAAATGTGTGTCTATTGGTCTTGTAAGTGAATTCCAAAATGATGTGGCACTTTTTATTCATAGTTCTTTTGCTGAATACTTAGTTGCGAGATATTTTTCAAAAAATTTAAATATCTTTTGTGATATACTTGGTGACTTAATGTTCAATGCAAAGTATAATAATGTTCGTTTTTTTTTCGACATGTTGTTAGCCAAAAATTGTAAAGCTCACATTGCTGTCTTGTATAGGAAATATGAATTACTTAAAACTTATGACGACGAAACTTTAACACGCAAAGATAAAAGTGGCAGAAATGCTTTACATGTGATTTCTTCATGGGGACAAAGACATCCGCGTATAAAAATAACGGTTGAAAATGGGAAGTGTATTGTGCATGAAGACAACAATTTCGATAAACAAACTGAAAACCAAGCATATTTTGAAACGGTAATGTTTTTGCAGAGCAAGAATAATGTTGAAGAACTTGATAGTTTGCTAGATGCGACTCCTTTGTCTTATGCCAAAAAAAGTGAGAGTTTAGGGGCGGAAATAATATTACTTCAAGCAAAAAAAAATGAACTGAATCGTCAGTCAAGTTCTCTCAACGATGTAATTAATGTTTTATATTATTCTTCATTACTTGGATACGATCAAGTGTGCGAGCTGTTTACTGTCCAAGAAATGAAAACAAGGAAAAATTGCGGGTACGAAACCAAATTTGTTACTGCGGAAAATTCTGAAACACCGCTATTATTAGCGAGTAAAAGAGGTCATCTGAAGATTCTTAAATACCTGTTACATTTAAATGACGAAATTAACAAACCCAAGAAATTTGGTGAGACACCGTTTCACGTTGTCTCCGAAAACAGCCACAAAAAGTCTTTAGAATATTTTTTGAATGTCGGTGAAGTGGAGGCAGGCGCTGAAATTAATCGAGGTAATATATATGGGGCGACACCACTTTTCGTAGCTTCTGAAATGGGTCACGAAAAAGTTGTCGAATATTTGGCGACAGTCGGCGCCGAAATCAATTGCGCTAATAAAAACGGTGCGACATCACTTTTCATAGCTTCACAAAACGGTCACGAAAAAGTTGTCGAATACTTGGCGACAGTCGGCGCCGAAATCAATCGCGCTGAGAATAACGGTTGGACACCACTTCACATAGCTTCACATAACGGTCACGAAAAAGTAGTCGAATTCTTGGCGACAGCCGGCGCCGAAATCAATCGCGCCATTAAAAACGGTGCGACACCACTTTTCATTGCTTCACAAAACGGTCACGAAAAAATTGTCGAATACTTGGCGACAGTCGGCGCCGAAATCAGTCGCGCTGAGAATAACGGTTGGACACCACTTCATATAGCTTCACAAAACGGTCACGAAAAAATTGTTGAATACTTGACGACAGCCGGCGCCGAAATTAATCGCGTTAAGAATAACGGTGAGACACCACTTTTCATAGCTTCACAAAACGGTCACGAAAAAGTTGTCGAATACTTGGTGACAGTTGGCGCCGAAATCAATCGCGCTAATAAAAACGGTGCGACACCACTTTATACAGCTTCACAAATGGGCCACGAAAGAGTTGTCGAATACTTGGCGGCAGTCGGCGCCAAAATTAATTGCGCTAATAAAAACGGTGCCACACCACTTTTCATAGCTTCACAAAACAGTTACGAAAAAGTTGTCGAATACTTGGCGGTAGTCGGCGCCGAAATCAATCGCGCTGATAATGACGGCTGGACACCACTTCACATGGCTTCACAAGACGGCCACGAAAAAGTTGTCGAATACTTGGTGACAGTCGGCGCCGAAATTAATCGCGCTAATAAAAACGGTGCGACACCACCTTATGTAGCTTCACAAAACAGTCACGAAAAAGTTGTCGAATACTTGGTGACAGTCCGCGCCGAAATCAATCGCGCTAAGAATAACGGTGCAACACCACTTTTCATAGCCTCACAAAACGGCCACGAAAAAGTTGTCGAATACTTGGCGATAGTTGGCGCCGAAACCAATCGCGCTGATAATGACGGCTGGATACCACTTCACATAGCTTCCTTCCACGGACACGAAAAAGTTGTCGAATACTTGGCGACAGTCGGCGCCGAAATTAATCGCGCCATTAAAGACGGTGCGACACCACTTTACGTAGCTGCACAAAACGGCCACGAAAAAGTTGTGGAATACTTGGCATCAGTCGGCGCCGAAATTAATCGCGCTAATAAAAACGGTGCGACCCCACTTTACGTAGCTTCACAAAACGGTCACGAAGAAGTTGTCGAATGCTTGGTGACAGCCGGCGCCGAAATCAATCGCGCCATGAATGACAATTCAACACCACTTAACATAGCGTCCCAAAACGGCCACAAAAATGTTGTCGAGTATTTAAAGAGAGTAGGCGCTTCTAGAGAGAATCCTACAAGAAAGAACTTTTCCAAACGGTTTGATTGTAGTTTAATGTAGCAATTTTTCACTTTTATGAACAAAGCGTAGGTATACGTTTAGTATTATAAGTAAGTGCTGGTTATATTACAGATGATATAATTCATGTATCACGTGTTGCGATTTCACCCAATAGAGTATGTTAATTTCCTTAGATACACTCAGAACCAGCGCTGGGTATTATACCGTCCACGGCAAAGCAAATATGTGAAAAGGAAACTTTTCGTGCTTTAATTGCAGAAAATTCTTTCACAAATTGTTTATAATATAATCTATGGTCTGTCCTAACCGGTGCTAATGGAAATAATCGCCAAGTCTACAAGTCTTGTTTCAGGCGTAAGTAATTTTTTGTCTGTTTTAGCATCGAAAAACTTCGCTCAGCACTGAGACACAAATGTATAAATATAACATAAAATAAGACAATTGGAATATAAAATATGCATAACAGATTAACACAAATATTAACGGTTAATTAGTTTTTAAAAATGCTACACAGCTAAAAATTCTCTTAACTTATCCTTAAAAACTTTTATCCACAACCGATATAGCTTGAGGCCATAACATTACGGTTTTGGGACGTTTTATGAGTTTAATAAAACATTAGTGCCTTATATACTCGTAAATAATAAGTTAGAATTATTTAGATCTACTTTTTAACGTTACGTTAATATTCACGTTAATAGACAAAACATTGTCATTTTTTCCTTTTTTGGTGGTGAAAGACTAATATCAAACGTAGCTGGAATTGAAGTTTCACAGGCAGTTTCATTAGCATTCCGAATTTCGACTTGTTCAACATCCTGCCCTTGAATCACTTTCTCTGTTTCAGTTTTATTTAATCGAGAATCCTTAATGTATAGTGAACGACTGAGCATTGCTTTATAAATAAGACACTGATACAAAAAATAACTATTAAATTTGTTGTATTTGTTGCTTTGAAAACTTCATTTAGTAATCTTGATTCTTCTTAAACATTTTCGACTTTTTACGAGTTTACGTCAGATATTTCTGAAAAGAAATGGACATTAAATTATATATTTTTTATATAATTTTCCAACAAACACGTAAACAGTTAATGCCTTAATAATATCCTTAATATTTAAGTCCAACTCATTATACTTTTTGTTCTTCGTTGGAATCTTATACATATACGTATTACTTGCTTTTATCCGAAACCAACTTAAAAAATAATAATAATCTACGTAGGTTTGAAATCAATGAAAACGTATCGTCTGCGTATAAATACCAGAACAAAGAAAAAAATAGGAAAACCGGCAAAATTTCTTTACATCACTGCATCGCTTCTGCGTTTTCGTGATATTCATGACTTGGTCGGGTACTCCATTGTATATTTTTTTCGCAACTACTTAGTATTATTGAGTTTGATCAAAGATTAAAAATTATTAGTATCAGTTCAAACAGTATTACGAATAAAATAAGACCTCGAAAAAAAAACAGAATAATTGTGTTTTCTCTTTTATGAAATAAAAAAAAGCAATGCATGAGACCGTTTAGCATATTCCTCCATATTTTCCTGATTGATTTTTACAACAATTTAAAGATGCAAAAAGGATTAACCAAGAAAATGAAGACATAATTTTGGTAAATATGTTCCACTTATATCGTGAAAATAAAATTCAAAAAGTATTTTCCAGCGTCGCCTCATCAGTCACAAATTAATTATAACAAAAAGGTGTAATTTGTCGTAAATTTGGCCCTATTGTAAAATGCAGTACAAGTGAAGCTGTATAAATACATATCTATAGCTAAGGTAGGAAAAACATATTCTCGTTATTTTTACTTTGAGTTTAATTTTCTAGTAAAGGTGTATAGAAGAAAGAAGAAATTATGAAATACTTCCAATCTTCTAGAAAACAACAACTGACTCAAGTAATAACGTTGAACTCTCCAAAATGATCCCATTCTTCTTTATGTCATTTTGTTACGCTACGCTGTAAGTAAAATCTAGTCAGTAATGATTAGCTTCAGTATTTTCACGTTTTTCTGTAACTTAAGCAATGGAGGATCACCTTGAAGAAACCAAGGATCTTTTTCGAACACTTCAAGAAATTTTTCTTTTTTCTTCCTGTAAGAGAGGTTGGTAAAATTTTTTTGTTTGTTTTAAATAAACTGTATAGAAAACATACTTCAAGAGACGGAAAACAATCCCAAATTACTTACTTTGTTAATTTAGAAAATGGAGTTTTCTTAAATAAATGTGTGTCTTTTAAAGAACAATTACCAAAACACAACTGGAGTACGTTGGAATGTTGTAATTTCAAACACGCAAATGACTATTGTGGTTTAACTTAATGTTTCTATAGTTTAGTTTTCTAAAAAAACTGTTTGCATCGTACCTAATAATTAATCTATGAATGTTAGTTTTTATTTTTTTTTTCTAGGACATCGAGAGAGCTCTCTAGAGCAGTTATCCCGAGCGTCTGCACGAAAAACTCTTCACGCGAAAGGAAAAAGTCCTAGGAGCACTAACCGGTTCAGCACAAACAGTGAGACCCTATGAACTTCCATCGTCTGAGAAAAACGACCTAATTCAGTCAACGAAAAACAGCATCGAGCTACAAACCAACGAAAAGTACGGTACAAATGTCAAAATCGGAGAAATCCTAGTTATCGAAAAAGCATACGAAGTGGTACCATGATTGTTGCTTCTGTTATGGATGCCTGGTGCTTTGCCAAAATCCGACACCATGCACCAAGTGTCACAGATGGTTGTATTTTAGCGAAACGTGCAAAGGAAAGGATTTTCAAATTCTTAGTCAGTCCATGTATCTCACTGACTACTGGCTGCTTGCTTTAAAAATCACGCTTGTGGCAACGAATGACGAAAATAACACCGAACCCGATTATTGTTCTGACAGTTATAAGAGAGTTGCAGAATTGCGGATTCACAGCCTTGAATATATGTTATATGTCTTTGTCTTTGTCCTCTGTGAAATTTTTCGATTCGTTAAGAGAAAAGTCTACGCTATTCGAAGAGATCAGCGGATGTGAGGAAAGGTTAAAAGAATTATATTTCTGGAACCTCTAGATGTGTAAGGTCAACTATATCGGGATGGATGACTGGTATAGTCACCATAAATATGAGAGTCCTGTGTGTGGAACTGGGCTATATCCTCTATTCAACATGTTTGTGAATTCATTCTGGATCTACAATGATTATTATCAGAGGTTTTTCACACATTAAGAAAGGAGAACAATGCTTCAAATCTTACGGGTAAGCAAAACTTGAATTATGTGTTTTTGACGTCATACTTCAAATTATTTTTCCCAAGTGAAAAAATTAAGATGCGATCCCACAAGGAAATAATGGTTGCGAGCAGAAATCTCCCGTTACTTAGGTATAACTGTTTTGTAATAGTGTTAGTAGTAGAATTAGCAAAAAACGACTTCAGGAAATTGAACGACCAAAAGATATTGTGTCAATCGTCTCTTTTGTAGTGTTGCAAAGAACTGACTACAGTAAAGTTCATGTTAGATTTGTATGTATTTTGTATTGCTAGCTCATTTTTCTATCTTTTCTGTATAGGTTAAGGAATAAGTAATTTCATGTACAAAGAACAAGAATTTTGTCAAGGTATTTAAACAATATAATGTTTTATGAACAAGATCCAGTTTTTCAGTGTTATTTTAACCCAAAAATTAGTCTGAAGGGTTCATACAGTACTTCACTCATCAGTGCTTGCAACTGAAATTACACATCCAAGCAAAAGGAGTGGAAAGAACAAGACAGAGTAAACAATAAACAAATATAATGATGAAAATAAACAAATCCCAGTAGATTCGTACAAGTACAGGAGTATATTATTTCGTAAAACTTAGACAATTTTAATTACGCAGACGATTAGTAAAATTTTGTTTATGAGATTTCTAATACACGTCAAAATTTGACAACAATCGGTTCAGTAGTTTCGGAGATTATCTGTCTAATAAAAATCGATACAGACGACATTCGTCGGATAGACCCTATTACAGTAGTTTCTTAGCTAGAATACAGATACACTGAAATGTATTTTTTACCAGAATAAATGGTAAATATGACTCACAGTTCATTTTGTTTGCTCGTGATTACAGATTAATTCAATTTATCAGTAAATTTGATAAAAAAATACTTGTCGACCTAGTTATTTGTATACTATAATATACTTAAATGTTTTCAGTACGAGAGCCTAAAATAAGTTTTTCTTTTTGTTTCGAAATATCATTCCCATATAGATATTTCAGTTTTAAACAAACATTTACTGGATATTGTGTCACTTTGAAGGTGTGCTTATCTTATCTAAAAATCCTCATTTAGTGCGAACTAAAAACAAATGAGCAGTTTTGCCTGATATCAGTTTAGTGGAAACATTTTCTAGCTAAAGTTTTTTCTTGTACTTGTGATTTCAACTCTAGAAATGGAGAACATAGAGGTAAGTGTTTCTTTTCATACATCTGACTACATATATTTTATTTATTAATTGGACTGTTAAAAGTGAATGTTACTTAAAAAATTTTGATGTACTTTTTTGACATTTTTAACAACGGCAAATTATTAAAATGTCATTTTATATCCATATTTTGATGTCTTTCCTTGATTGTCGAGATCCTTTATTTTCACAAAACATTTAATTTTTTTTAATTCCTCTTATGCAACTTTTCCTGTTGTGTTCGTGGTCCATAAATTTTGTCGATGCAATTTTTCCAAAAAGTAAAGCCCAATTTGTGTTTTCTCTTACTATTTTTCTATCTACTAGTAAGCTTTTCTGAACAACGAGACACTGGGTATGGTTTACCTTTTCATTAAAAACCGTATACAGAAACTGCATCTAAAATTTTAACCAGTCCATTAACACTAACATGCCCTCATCTAATGTATCTAATATTTAATTTAAATCTTCGCCTGACAGGAGGACTGAGGTATCATCTGCAAATAGATGGATAGTGTATTTGTCTACAGCGTTTATTATGTATAATGTATAAAATGAATAATATTGGACCTAGAACGCTTCCTTGGGGGACCCCATATTTTACATCTCATGATTCAGAAAGAATATTATCACATTTTACTCTTTGTGTTCTGTTTGTCAAATAATTTTCTATCCATTTTATTACATTTCCGTCTATTCCTGACTTTTTAACTTTTGCAATAAAATTTTTCTGTCTATTGTTTCGAAAGCTCTACTGAAATCTAAAAAAACTGCAACTGTAGTTCTGGTGTTTTCTATTTGTTCCTTCATATCTGCTATTACATTTTGTAGTGTTGTATCACAGTTGGGTTTTTTCTAAAACCAGATTGATTTCCAACTAGGATTTTGTCGTACTCGATAAATTCTAGTAACTGATTGTACACTGCCATCTCAATTATTTTTTCAATTGTTGGTAACATATTTATAGGTCTAAACTCATTATGTTTGATTGTTCCTTGTACAATTGTTGATAATTTCAGTTTTTTTGGTATCACACATTCCAATAAAGATGTGTTTACTATATTTAGTAATGGTTCTGCAACTGCATCAAAGCAATTTTTATAATGTCTATACTAATATTATCCGGACTATCTGTACTTTTTAAAGATGTAATAATGTTTTTTAGTTCTCGCATGTCAAGTAGTTTGAAGTTATTGTTTTTGATAATGGACTCTTGAATTTATCATGTTTGTGTTGGTTGCGGAATGCTATTGGATAGTTCATCAATGCTATTTACATAAAATTCATTTAACTTTTTTGCTATTATTTCTTTTTTATTTATTATATTTTCTGAAAAAATTATTTCACTTATGTCTGCATTACATTTACTTGATCTTAATAATGTTTTGAGAGTTTTTCACATTGTTTTTTGATTATATTTATTTCCATCTATCACAGTTTCATAATATTCAGCCTTTTTCTTCTTGTTAAGCTAACTACCTTATTTCTATGTGTTTTATATTCTGTCCAGTCTTCTTTATTTCTTGTGGTCTTAAATACTCTGTATTTGGTATCTCTTTCTTTAATAGCCTTACGAATATCTTCACTAAACAAAAGAGTTGGTTTACTACGAAGTTTTAAGTGTTTTATTGGTGCAACTAAATCTAATATTTTTTCAATATTGATAGTTAAGTTTTCATATTTGGTATCAATATCATTGCACTTATATATACTTTGCCAGTTCACCGTACTAAGATTTCCAGCAAGTCTTTGGTTGTTAATTTTTCCCCTATTGTAGAACGTTCTCTTTTTCTCCGGTTTAATTTTGAGATGATCTAACTAAATATTCGATTAATATTAAACTGTGATCAGTAACATTTGGTTCATCGAGTACATGTACATTGCATTCTTCATTGGTCAACACAAGATCAATGGTACTTTCACTTATGTTGGTTATACGTCTAGGTCTGTCAACAAGTTGTAGCATATCATATTCCTCAATCAATATATTTAGTTTGTTTCTGTAAAAATCATTAGTGTCAGCCCAATCAATATTAAAATCTCCTACTAATACTACTACTAGTCAGTCAAAAACAGACGGTTATTGAAAAATGCAAATAATATTAGGTAAAAAAAAATTTCTCATTTTAGTGCAATTTTGTTTAACGTCGATTATTGAAATAAAATTTAATAAATGATTATAATATTGTTCCATCCACAAATTATCTGCTAGCCGACTGCTTCACAATTCATTTTTTTTTTTTAAATCAGTTGATGTGTTTTGCGTTGAGAAATTAAATGGTAAATGGAAGTAATCAAAATCACAATGATTATTAGAACAGTTCCCTCAGGCAAATTTTTGTTTCTTTACAAAGTAAAAGACATCTTAAGAATACGTCACTTTATTGAAATTTTTTGTCTCAACAATAAGAAAATATTCTGCATAATTCAGTCGAACATTTTGTTGTTGTATGAGTATAAGTAACCATAAACTAAGATCATCATCATAATCTAGTTGATTTAAAAATGAGGTCATTTGATGATTTATTTGTTAAACTCGAAACGAATAAAGGAATCATAGCAAAGGCTGTTCAGTTGAACTAAAAACTAAAGTTTGGTTTTATTATTGCGAACGCATGTTCATTTAATCTTCTGCTATCAACATCCCAACTCGTTTGCCAATTTCTTCTAATCTCTTGTTCTAGTTATTTGTCATTAATTGTTACGTTTTAGTAATCAGTTTTAATAGTATGTTCATTATCTTTTTCTGCCATTGCATGTTCCAATTTTTTATTCCTTTCCAGAGTTTTAAAAAAAGAAGCGGAACCACGGATAGAGGGAAGGAATATGAGGATGTGGTTCTTGCTTTTGTTATCCTAGAACTGGTAAAAGACGTCGCAATAAAGAACTTTCATGTTTCGTCAAATGAAGAGGGGTTCGGAGCTTTTGATGACATAGTTATTAAAACTGAGTCGGATAAGGGAAACGAAATAAAAGCAGTACAGTTAAAACACACCGAAAATAGAATATTATCCACAAAAAATTTGATGTCCAAAACAGGAGACTTCAGCATTGGGAAATATTTCAAAACATTTCAAGAAATTAAGAAAGATGCAAGCGAATTTATATTATATACTAACAGACCATTTACGTATGACGACAATACAACATTTCAATTAGTTGAAGAAGAATTTTCTATTATTACTGTTAAAGTAAAAGCTGCTTCAGAACTTGCAGAGATAGATTCTGCCTATCAGTTTAAAATAATAGAAGAAGATTGGAATGTTGAAATGCTTCTCAAAATTCGAGAATATCAAAAGTTTTTTAGTAAGTTTTATCTGTATACCGATCAAAAAAAAGTTGAAAGTCTGAAAAAGAGTGTAACTGAAAATTTCAAAACAACATATTATTCGGATGAGGAAATATTCGAAAAATTCCTCAAAAGACTGTCTGAGTGGAATATCCAAGACGGGAACAAAGAAAAGCTCAACAAAAAGTGGATGGAACGTGTAATCGCTCTATTGCTTCTATCTTCCCATATTGAGCCCCTATCTTCTGGCTCAGTTAATGTCAACTCCGGTAACGATAAAGTGAAAATATTTCAAGAAGCTGTTTCCTTCTTCGATATTACACTACTTGAAAAAGAATCGTACGAAAAGCTTAAACCAGTGTGGGATGACATTAGAAAAGAAAAAAACTTTGACTTTACAGAATTAAATAAAATAAGAAAAAGGTACTTCCCAGCAGTCAGTTATATTGTTAATAAAAACATCGACAAAATAGATCCAAGGATATTTATTCAACTATTATGGTTAACAGACAAGTGTCCATTAATAATCCGTCAACATGAGAACGTCGAAAAGGCCATCCAGCTCTGTCCCGATAAAAAGTTCATCCTAATTGGCGAAGGCAAGAATGAGGAGTGGATGAAAATCTATTCCGTTTTCCAAAATCTATCAAACTTGATTCAAAAACCCGATTTACACGAAAGAATTATGCAAAATTTTACCATATCGCTCCAAGGAAAGGGAGAAATTAATCTTGCAACAGCTTTTGGAAATAGCGATAAATTTTTACAAAGTGTCACAACGGATAACTTAGTGGAAATGCTAAACGATCCGTGTTATATAGGAGGAGTAAAAGAGATTCTTCCTGAACCTTATATTGAGCGGAGTCTTTCCCGAAATATTATCAACATTAAATACCTTAAAAAATTTTGGAAAAATACAATTATTATTTTAAATTGCGCCGATAATTTTGATAAAGTCAAAGACGAACTCACACAGTGTAAAATAATTGACATCAATAACTTCTTACAGAAAAAAACTCAGAATTTTGAAAATCAAACAAATGAAATTTATGTGCCTAAATTTAATCCAACTCAATATAAAACTAACTTTAATTCGAATAAATCAAATTTGAGCAATACAGTTTATATGGCTAATCGTAATTTAACTGATTTAGAACTAGAACAAATTTACAATGAAAATAGAGAAGCCAAACAAATTCACTATTTTAAACTCTCCGAAGATTGTAATTTAGAATGGATTAAAACTGCAGGTGATGTTGGTGATTTAGAGCTTTATAAGTTATCTGGGAAATACTGTACGACCGAAAATGAACTGTGGTCTTCTCGGCTAGATAATAACATAAATCTAATATGTGGTGATCCGGGCATAGGGAAATCCGAATTAATGAAAAGTTTCAAAAATAAATGTTCACCGAAATATTGGACAATTATGATTAGTCCTAACGATGTGCACTCATTTTTTGACAATTCTAAATTTTCCAAAACAACTAACTCTATAGATTTGTTTGAAAAATTTATCGCTGATGAAAAATGTCGGGTACTTCAAAGACTCGAACGAAGATTTTTTGAAATGTGTGTAGAGAAAAATCATGTAATTTACGTGTGGGACGCGCTCGATGAAATTGTAGGAGAACATTTAGACTCCGTTTCGAAAATAATCGTCGGCTTCTCATCAAAAGGTTTCCTTCAGTGGGTAACAAGTAGAAGACATTTAAAACCATTTCTAGAAAAAAAATTCAATTTGTTGGCACTTAGTATAAATCAGTTAGACGAACAAGAACAACAAAATTATGTAAGAAAACGTTTAGCTTCTTTCATTTCTGTAGACGAAATTGAGATCGCCATCGACAAAATTAAATCATCGTTCGCGATTATCGAGCACATTAATATATTGGGAATTCCGCTTCAGATCTTCATGGTTACCGAATTGTTTCGTCAAAACAAAGACAAATATTTGAAACTAATGGAAAATATATTTCTTTTGACTGATTTATACGAATACTTCATAGAAGAAAAGTTTAACAATTTTTACGAAGGTAAATTAGGTTTTGATCACACAAATCCTCACATGAAATATAGAATTCGCGAAGAAAAACGAAAAGCTTTAGATCATTATGAAAGAATGGCGTTTACTGTAATCTTTCCGGAAGATATTTTGAAACGATTAAACATTAACATTGACAAACACAGAGAGAAAATTTTACGGAAATATGCGTCAGTTGGTCTGGTAAATGAATTTCAAAATAATGTGCCACATTTTGTTCATGGTTCTTTTGCCGAATACTTAGTTGCTACATATTTTTCGAAAAATTTTAATGTAATTAGGGACACACTCGGGGACATAATATTTGACGCAAAGTATAACAATGTTCGTTTTTTTTTCGACTTGTTGTTAGCCAAAAACTCTAAGGCTCACGTCTCAGTGTTATACAAAAATTATGAGTTGCTTAAAACCTATAATGACGAAACTTTAACACGTAAAGATGAAGGTGGTAGAAGTGTTTTACATGTGATTTCTTCATGGGGACAAAGACATCCTCGTGTGAAAGTAACCGGTAAAAGTGGAGAGTATGTAGTGCACGAAGACAACAACTTTGATAAAAAAGCAGAAACCCAGGCATATTTTGAAATGGTAGGGTACTTACAAAACAAGAGTACTGTTGACGAACACGATGTCTTGCTAGATATGACGCCGTTGGCTTATGCCAGGAAAAGTGAGAGCTTAGGGGCGGAAATAAAGTTACTTCAAACTAAACGAAATGACCTGAATCGTCAATTAAGTACTGTTGATGATGTAATTAATATTTTCTATTATTCTTCTTTACTCGGATATGACGAAGTGTGTGAACTTTTCACAGTTGAAGAGAGGAAGAGACGAAACCATTGGTACGAAACAAAATTTGTAACTGCGGAACATGGTGAAACATCTCTTTTATTGGCATGTGGAAGTGGTCATCTAAAAGTCGTTAAGTACTTATTACAATTTGATGAAGAAATAGAGCAGCACTCCAATAAAATTGGTGAGACAACAATTGTTGATAATCCTCTCGAATGCTTCGTGAAGGTAGACGCTAAAGTAAATCGCCCTACTGAAAACGGTGGGACACCACTTTTGGTAGCTTCCGAAATGGGTCACGAAAAAGTTGTCGAATTCTTGGTGTCAGTCGGTGCCGAAATCAATCGCCCTATGAATGACGGGTTTACGCCACTTTTGATAGCCTCACAGAACGGCCACCTGAAAGTAGTTGAATACTTGCGGACAGTCGGTGCCGAAATCAATCGCGCTAATAAAGAGGGCGGTACACCACTCTTCATAGCTTCCCAAATGGGCCACGAAAAAGTTGTCCAATACCTGGCAACAGCCGGTGCCGAACTCAATTGCGCTCTTAAAGAGGGTGTGACACCACTTTACATAGCTTCCGAAAGAGGTCACGAAAACATTGTCGAATACTTGGCGACAATCGGTGCACAAATTAATTGCGCTACTAAAGAGGGTGCGACACCACTTCATGTAGCTTCCCAAAACGGCCACGAAAGGGTTGTTGAATACTTGGCCACAGTCGGTGCCGAAATCAATCGTGCTATGAACGACAGCTCGACACCACTCTATATAGCTTCCCAAATGGGCCATGAAAAAGTTGTTGAATACTTGGCGACAGTCGGCGCCGAAGTCAATCGCCCTACAAAAGGGGGTGCAACACCACTTTACATAACTTCGCAAATGGGACACGAAAAAATTGTCGAACTCTTGGCGACAGTCGGTGCTGAAATCAATCGCGCAATGGACGACAGCTCGACACCACTTTACATAGCTTCGCAAATGGGCCACGAAAAAGTTGTCGAATACTTGGTAGCAGTCGGTGCCGAAGTCAACTGCGCCATTACAAAGGGTGCGACACCACTTTACATAGCCTCACAAATGGGCCACGAAAAAGTTGTCGAATGCTTGGCAACATCCGGCGCCGAAATCAATCGCGCTGGGATTGAAAATGCGACATCCCTTTACGTAGCTTCACAAAACGGCCACACAAAAGTTGTCGAATACCTGGTAACAGTCGGCGCCGAAATCAATCTTGCTACGATTGACGGTGAGACACCAGTTTACATAGCTTCCCAAATGGGCCACGAAATAATTGTCGATTACTTGGTGACAGTCGGGGCCGAAATCAATCGCGCTACTAAAAAGGGTGCGACACCACTTTACATAGCTTCGCAAATGGGGCACGAAAAAATTGTCGAACTCTTGGCGACAGTCGGTGCTGAAATCAATCGCGCAATGGACGACAGCTCGACACCACTTTACATAGCCTCGCAAATGGGCCACGAAAAAGTTGTCGAACTCTTAGCGACAGCCGGCGCCGAAATCAATCGCACATTGGAAGACGGTATGACACCACTTTATGTAGCTTCACAAAACGGCCACAGTGAGGTTGTCAAATACCTCGCGGCAGTCGGCGCCGACATCAATCGCGATTGTAAAGAGGGTGTGACACCAATTTACATAGCTTCCGAACAAGGTCACGAAAAGGTTGTCGAATACTTGGCGGCACTCGGCGCCGAAGTCAATCGCGCTACTAACGTGGGTGGGACACCACTTTTCATAGCTTCCCATAATGGTCACGACAGAGTTGTCGAAAACTTGACGATAGCTGGTGCCGAGATCAATTGCTCTATGAATGACGGTACGACACCACTTTACTTAGCTTCACAAAACGGTCACAAGAAAGTTGTCGAACACCTGGTGACAGCCGGCGCCGAAGTCAATCGCGCTACGAATGACGGTCGAACACCACTTTACATAGCTTCCCAAATGGGCCACGAAATAATTGTCGATTACTTGGTGACAGTCGGGGCTGAAATCAATCGCGCTACTAAAGAGGGTGCGACACCGTTTTTTATAGCTTCCCAAATGGGCCACGAAAAAGTCGTCCATTACTTGGCGACAGCCGGCGCCGACATCAACCGGGCCATGAATAACGGTTCAACACCACTTTACATAGCCTCACAAATGGGCCACGAAAAAGTTGTCGAATGCTTGGCAACATCCGGTGCCGAAATCAATCGCGCTGTGATTGAAAATGCGACATCACTTTACGTAGCTTCACAAAACGGCCACGCAAAAGTTGTAGAATACCTGGTAACAGTCGGCGCCGAAATCAATCTTGCTACGAATAACGGTACGACACCATTGTACATAGCTTCACAAAACGGTCACGAAAAAGTTGTCGAACTCTTAGCGACAGCCGGCGCCGAAATCAATCGCGCTACGAATGACGGTATGACACCACTTTATGTAGCTTCACAAAACGGCCACCGTGAGGTTGTCAAATACCTCGCGGCAGTCGGCGCCGACATCAATCGCGATTGTAAAGGGGGTGTGACACCAATTTACATAGCTTCCCAACAAGGTCACGAAAAGGTTGTCGAATACTTGGCGGCACTCGGCGCCGAAGTCAATCGCGCTACTAACGTGGGTGGGACACCACTTTTTATAGCTTCCCATAATGGTCACGACAGAGTTGTCGAAAACTTGACGATAGCTGGTGCCGAGATCAATTGCTCTATGAATGACGGTACGACACCACTTTACTTAGCTTCACAAAACGGCCACAGGAAAATTGTCGAACACCTGGTGACAGTCGGCGCCGAAGTCCACTGCGCTACGAATGACGGTGAGACACCACTTTACATAGCTTCCCAAATGGGACACGAAATAATTGTCGATTACTTGGTGACAGTCGGGGCTGAAATCAATCGCGCTACTAAAAAGGGTGCGACACCCCTTTTTATAGCTTCCCAAATGGGCCACGAAAAAGTCGTCCATTACTTGGCGACAGTCGGCGCCGACATCAACCGGGCTATGAATAACGGTTCAACACCACTTTACATAGCCTCACAAATGGGACACAGTAATATTGTCGAGTACCTGACGACAGGCGGCACCGAAAGCCATCGCCCTACGGATAATGGTGCGACACCACTTACCACCTCTTCTAGCTTGCCACAAAGGTCACGAAGAATTCGTCGAGCAGTTAGAAGAATAAAAAACAAAGAATAATTGTAACCAGAGCTTCACGTACACATCTTTGTACAAATTTGTACGATTTTTTTTCCGGGCTCTCAGCATTTTCTTTACTTTTTTTTGCCTTCATGTTCTTGTTTCTGGGACAGCATCGTCTTCATTTTGAATTCTAACTTTTTCGTTATTTCAGCTCTGCACTCATAGTTAAACCAATGTTTTCTGCGGTGCCGATTATTTCTTGGCAGATTCGTCCTTGTTGCTTCTTTTATGGTATTTGTTAAATTGATCCATTTTTCTACTAGGCGATTTTGGGTTAGGCGCTACTTCGTTACTATAGTTCTGCATCATCTCGAAGTTTTTTAATTCGTCTATACTGGATTTAGGATCTTATTTCTGTTCTACTTTGTTTTCTTGCTTGAAACAGTCTTTCCGTTTTATTCCTACTAGAAAGTAATCGGAATCTATTTCTGCACCTCTGGATGTTTTAACTTTAGTAACTCTCTTTGCATACCCTCCTTGTACTAGGATGTGGTATATCTGATTAGTTTTATTACTCCCTGGTGTTGTTCAAGCCTCTTTAAAAATACTCTTTCTTGTAAAATGTGTGCTAAGAATGACGATGCAACAACAAGTTCTCCAAACGGTTTCGTAGTAGTTTAATGAAGCAAAGACAGTGTACCATAGTGTTATTAAGTAAATATCAGTTATCTTTCAGAAAATATAGCGTTTGGTATTTTTTTTTAATTGTCGCAATAAAATTAAGTGAATTCATTGTGGAACAGTTGCGATGAGTTTTACAATAAACCCAGTTCTACACGTAAATTGTTAATGTACGGGTAATCTAATAAGTCTACTCAATTGTACTATACTTTTTGGAGTCCAGCTCATTACACTTTCGTTCTTCGTTGGAATCTTATATTGTTGCTATTATTGCTTTTATCCGTGTTGGAATGTAAAAGGTTTTTCCAAAACTAATCCCAAAAATAAAAATCTACCTATGTCTGAAATCACCAGCACTTAAAAATTCCTCTACATCACAGCATCGCCTCTGTTTTTCTTTTAGTTATTATAAGTTTGAGCAAAAATTAAAATTCGTTAGTAACAGTACACTTTCTATTATGAATGAAACAAGACCTTCAGATAAAATAGTTTTGTGTTTTCTCCTTTATTCAATAAACAGAAAGCAATGCATGAGATCGTTTACCATCTTCCTAAATATTTTCCTGACTTAGTTTTACGACAAGTTAAAAATGTAACATGCAAAAGAACAACCAATAAATTGAAGAAATAATTTAGGTAAATATGTTCTATATCGTGAAAACAAAATGCAAAAAGTATCGTCCAGAATCGCTTCTTCAGTTACCTCATAAGTCACAAATTGTAACAAAAATTTAGCCTTATTATAAACTGGACTACAAGTGAAGCTGTATACATATAAATAGCGAAGGTAAGAAAAAAATATCATCGTTATTTTTACTTTGACTTAAGCATTCTAGCAAAGACGTACACAAGCAAGAAGAAATTATGAAATGCTTCCGCCTTCTAGAAAACAAAACTGACTCAAGTGATGTTGTGAATATGGGTTTGGAAATTGACGCTGAAGTCTCCAAAATGATGCATCTGTGGTTGTTACTTTATTACTCCTCGCCGTGGTGTAAGTAAAACTCCGTCAATTCTAATAAATAATTATTATGTTTAGTATTTTCATATTTTTCTCTTTTATTTTAATGATTATGAATTTGTTTGTGTTATTGAGTTTACTAACAACACTTTTTTTTAGTGGTACCTATACTAAGTGCCCAAATTCAACAATACATTTAATAGGCTTAGGGAATGCAGGATCACCTTCAAGAAACTAAAGATCTTTTCGAACACTTCAAGAAATTCCCCTTCCAGAACTCGTTCTGCTCAGTTATAATTTTGTTCCTGTAAGAAAGGTTGGTTCATTTTTTTTTTTTTGTTTTAAGTAAATTGTATAGAAAACATACTTGATAAACGTTACTGTTTCATATCAAGTGCTGTTGTGAATAAATTCAGTAATATATTCTATATCGATGATATTACAACGTCAACATGTGTGTCCTTTTAACTAATTTCACTTTGTTAATTTAGCAAATTGAGCTCTCTTTTGGTAACTTTAATAAGTCACTGTTAGAAAAATAGGGATGGAGTGTGCAAACAAGGCGTCAGAATAACAGGACTGCGGTTCTTTTTGCTATGGGTTTGTTCTAGGAGCGCATAATGGTGTAAATAAATGCATACACCTCCTCCTCTTCCTGATTTACGATCAGGTCGGTAAAGAATATAATTAGACATGAAAAGTTAAAAATAGTCTGCACTTAGTCTCTTCGTATTTAATGAGCGTGGCTTGCTCTAAGGAAATAATTTGAACGAACTTCTTCATTGTCCAGTTCGTGTATCCTCGATTACTAACATTTTTGTTCAATCATTCTTGAGTCACTGAAACTTCTAAATTATCATTCTGGAATGTTTCATTACGATAATAACATAAATAAATGCGTCTTTTTCTAAAGAAAAAATTCTTGTTACCAAAACACAAATTGCTCTGAAAAAACTGTTTGTCTTGTAATCTATGAATGTTAGTTCTTATATATTTTTTCTAGGGCATCGAGAGAGCTCTCTAGTCTGGTTATCCCGAGCGTTTGCGCGAAAAACTTCACGCGAAAGGAAAAAGTCCAAAAGAACAATGCTTCGTTTCCTACTGGTAAGCAGAACTTGAATTAAGTGTTTACGACGTCATATTTTAAATAATTTTTCCCCGAATGGAAAAATTATTTCCTCAGCAATATCACGTTTAACATAGAAGTATAATTACTCACTACTTCTTTTTTTTTGAAAACTAAATTGGTCGATTAAATGGTACATTATGACTGATTTTTTTTTCGTTTCATAGCATCACTTTTTCTACCTAACATACCGCCAAGAAAGATTTCAAACGTTTTTCAGGTTTACTTGTTGGTACATGAAAAGCTTGCGAGGAAAACTGGCCGGTTTTAACATCTGCACAGAAGAAAGTATTACCAACTTGCACGAAAACATAGAAAAACTTATCGACAAGCAAACAATTCCACTTTCACGTCAGGAAGATTTTTACGGCTCTGGACGAAGAGGGCCAATTAGGCTGCGATCCCACGAGAAAATAATTGCTGTCAGTAGAAATCTCTCGTTACTTGTATCTATTGTGTATTAGTGTCAGTACGTTCAATCAGCAAAAAACGATTTCAGGAAAAAGGACGACAAAAAAATGTTCGTTTGGTTTGTTGTTGAATATGTTTTTGTTTTGTAACTAATCTTTAAAAAAATTTCGAGTATCAATTGTCGGTTTTGTAGTGTTGCTAAAACCTGAAAACTCGTCCACAGTAAAGTTCATGTTAGAATGTGCTTTGTGTTGCTAGCTCATTTTTTTATCACTTCTGTATAGATTAAGGTACAAGCAATCTCATGTACAAAAAACTTAAAACTTTAGGAACCATAGCAATAATATTTTATGAACAAGACCCAATTTTTCAATGTTACTTTAACCCAAAAATTGGTTTGAAGGGTCCAGGCAGTACTTTCCTTATCAATACATGCGACTAAAAGTATAGAATTTTTAATACACTCACACTAAAATAAATAAAGAATTAATTTTGTGAATTTTATTTTTTAATGAAAGCTTTGAACCGTGGACCACTGTTTATCTGCAACGCTACCACTGAACCACAAGACAGAGTAAACAATAAACAAATGTAATAATAAACAAAACCAAGGTAGATTCGTAAACCACAAGTACCTACAGGAGTGTATTATTTCTAAGGCTGGGATTGTATGGTAGTGGTAATGGTAATTTATTAATTTATTATCCAACAGACAAAAGATGTATGTGGATACTTGTACACAACTCCGGATAAGTATACACAATACATATAACAAAACAAAAATCAATACAAAACCATTATACAACTAATCACTAATCACTAAAAATTGATATAACGAGACATGCAGAAAATTCAACTGCTGTGCCGGAGAGAACCATTTTTTTACATAGACAAGTAAAACGATTGATACTTTGGAAAAAGATGTCTACAAGTGGAGTGATATCATTGCAGCTTCTACACATATGTATTATATATCGGCGAATAGAAATGTTGATTAGTATAGAACGTTATATCTGTAGATTTGGTTATATTAAGTAATATTTAGTTTATTATTGTAACACTATATAAATAATAAACTTATTAAGATCTTTTTGAAGCGAGTAACAATCTTCGAATGTGGTAATAGTTTTAGTAACATTGCAGGTGAAGATCAAATTCCAAGTTTTCTCATTCATGATACTAGATTTGTGTTAGTTAAAGCTTTAGTTCTGATCATTAATAAAGGAATATCCACTTCTACTTTTTCAGTTAGTTGGAAACGAGCTAGTATAATCGATCCACAAGAAGAATGAACAGTCGCAATTGCTAACTTTGCTAAGATCTTTGAGCAAGTTATACATAAATCAATTTTTAATAATATTCAATCCTACATTTTTCCTTATCAACATGGGTTTATATCTGGACGATTAACAGTTACCAATCTTGTTACAATTACCCAGTTTATTTGTGAAGAATTGGATAATAACGGCCAAATTAATGTGGTTTACATCGATTTTTCAAGCGCCTTCGATACTGTGGCTCATCAAATTCTTTTAGATAAACTAAGTTCCTTAATGTTATATTTATCAGATCGTATTAATTATGTCTTCTACAATGGTTATAAGTCACAAGAATATGTCTCAACATCAGGCCCCGCTTCTCTGATTAAGATTTTACGTTTTATTAATTTCTTTTCCATGGTTGTAAAAATCAACGTTATTAGAAAACGCTAATATATGTACATTTAATTTTTTTACAAAAAAATTAAACAGTAACAATGGTCTCATCAAAACATGAACAATGCTTCTTAAAATGTCTCAGGGGTCTAATCTTGGACCACTGTCGTTCATATTGTTCATTGATGATCTTCTTAGATCATTATCTTGTCATGCACTTGCCTATGCTGATGATTTGAAGATTTACTCTAGAATTTCGTGTGTGAATGATGTTAATTATCTGCAGCACAACTTGAATAAGATTGTACTTTGGACTCTTCGTAATAAGCTAAAATTAAATACTGACAAATGTCGTATAGTTCCATACACTCGTAAAAACATAGTGTTCCTTCTTCTTATAAAATCAATGACGTACCATTATCCAAAGAAACCATCATTAAAGACCTTGGAGTACTATTTGACACTAATATGACTTTCGTAAATCATATTGAGAGTATTGTCTCTGCTGCTTCAAAGACTTTAGGCTTCATTCACTGCTAGACTATTTCACAGTCCACTAGTGTTAAAATTCTTGTATTTTTCTTTTGTTTTGTCAAAACCTGAGTTTGCTTCCAACATTTGGTCTCCCTATTATATTTGTCACCAGTTAGTGCTAGAAAAAATATAGCGTCGTCTTTTAAAGTTTTTGTCCTTCAAGATTGTCGGCAGTTATCCCCCATGTGGTACGGACTATAATCTACTTTAAGATACACACAATCTTGAATCGTTAACCCTTCGAAGAAGACGACTTGGTGCCAGATTTATTTGGAAGATTATATATGGTAGGTTGGACTGCAGTGACATCGTTAATTCGTTAAGGTTTCATGTTCCTCATCCAAATGCTCGTCATGCTGTTACATTTAGAATTCCAACTTCGAGGACGAATTTACTCAGAAAAGCAGCCTTAACAACCATGTGTCGGGAGGCTAATAATTTATACTTGGATATTTTTCACCAGCAGCGAGTAATTTTATTAAATGTTATTAGTATTATTTTACTTATATTTATGTATTTCCTACTATTTATTTTTACTTTCCATGTACATTTTATTATATAGTTAATTGTTAGTATTGTACCCAGTATTGATTTATGCATATGTGTATTTTTTATAATTGTCTTGTAAGTGGGTGAAGAACCTGTTGGACAATAAAGTTATTATTATTATCATTAACCTTTAGGTCATCAGCGTACACAAAAATGGGACACTTAAATTCTAGAAGAGCGTCATTCAAGTATATTGTTACGTTAGACGGGCGAATAATTAATCAGGCGTAGGTAAAACTCAACAATTTATTTCTTATTATAATAACTGTTATTTACACGACTAACTATTGCAACGATTATGTACAGAAATTATTCCGGTGAATTTCACTGGACGCACTTGACTGATTCCACTAGCTGAATAATCCCTTGCCGACGGTCGCCTCTATTTTAAACCCAAGCATGTCAGAACGTCGCATTGAGAGCTTTCTGGACTCCGCAATCGAGACTTCCGGTAACCAGTTCGAGGCTTTTCTCTATCTCTATCACAGACTCAAAATCTGTCACCGATACTATCACTAGTAATGACGTTACTGAAATAAATCGAGAAATTATTGACATTTTTTGTGGATCGGTTAGTTTAATTATTGTTATTGAACACATGACCTAGGATATTCGAGATATTTTTCTTTTGATTCAAATATGCCCACTCATTTTTTGAATCGTGTTTGATGGTCGTTTCTGCCAATACCATAAAGTTGAAACCAGTCTGTGTTATTCAGGCATCTGCAAACCTCTATATAATTTCTTTCACGAAAATTATATTTAGTCTTAATTCTCGAAAAGTTGAAATTCGACTCTTTCAAATTAGCTAAAGGAAATTCTAGAATGATAGCTAGGAGAGGATGGTGAGCATCTTTAACTACTAGAGTATCAGAATGCACTACACTACATTTCAAATCCTTAGAACAAAGGATTAAGTCAAAGAGTCTATATTTGGCATTAGTTACCAAGTTCTGTTGCTATAAATTATTAAAATTAATAAAATCACACAGTGGAATTTTCGAGCCTGTTAAATGTCCAACATTCTACTTTTGCATCATCTGATTATAATATTGAGGGATGTTAAAGTCACTTGCTATTAAGATAGAAGACACTCATTCTCCAAGTACTTAAAATGTATAAACTTATTATATGTTTTTAAACTAACGTTTTAATTCAACTACACCTTGCCTACAATTAAATCAGCATCCGTAACAGGCGATGATTTAACCGCTAACAAAACTCCTCTTCCTTTGTCTTTTTTATTTGCTCCGAAGATATTAAACATTGAACTAAAATATTCGAAATTTAGTACATCATCCTTCAACCAGGTTTCAGTCAATGCGAGTAACAGTCGGTCCAGTAGTTTCAGAGATTATCTGTCCAATGCAAATTGACACAGATGACACATAACAGACAGACCGAAACCAGAGAGCTACTTTTTCGTACTCTAGGAGCATAAAACTTCGAAAAGACACGAAAGGAGCCGTCCATCGGCTGCACCCTTTTGCAATACTACCTTAACTTACTACAGGTTAAATTTTCTCAAATCAACAACAAATCCCGAAATTTACTGAGAAATAATTTTACATTTATGTAAATGTTATGTTTGTGTAAGTTGTTAACTTTAACATATTATATCTCTGCTTTTCCGTATAAGATCACGATTTGCACAAATCGGACATTAAAAATAATACTCCTAATTAAAGACAATTTTTTAAAATCTATAATACCATGATAAATAATAGTATTACGTAATTGTTTTGTAGACTTTAACTTTCAAGAGTAAAAGTCACTGATAAGTATCAAGATAATACTAAATTTATATATGCATTTTATGTTCTATTGTTTCGTTTGTTAACAAGATAACTATCCTTGAACAGCATACAAATATCCTAAAATTAATTTTTAATCATGATAAATCGTAAACATTTTGGCTGATTTTGTTTGATCGTGATCACCAACGCGCGGTGTGGTGTTCCGGCGATAGTTTGATTATAAATATATTTTTCTTTTGGACTATATCAACATAATATAACATTTCAAGATCACAAATCTGTGGTCCTGTGGTTGAAAAATTAAAAAGGACATCGAGTATTATTATTTGAAGTAATATAGTAATATAGAAGTAGTTGTTTTACTAGCTGTAAACACTCCTAGCGACGCACTGGCTACGACCTTGTGGACCAGATCAAAGCGTCCCCGCTACTCGCCGTAAAACACACCTTACTTCAACTGGGGGATTGCAGCGGTGAGATAAAATTCCGCGTACTGGTGATCACACATTGAATCGAATTATCAGTAAATTTTATAAAGAACAAAAGTTTTCTTATGTTGAAAAAGTAGGTAGTTAAGTACACGAAACCAAAAGCACCTAATCTTAAATAGTGTCATATATAGCCTCTAATATTTGATAAGAATAACACCTGACACTTATGAAACAATTGTTGATGTCACTGGAAATTCCAAAAAGTTCTTAAAACTCGTAGTCACGATAACGTTTAGATGTCACATAAATAAATTCACCTATGTCAAAATGTTTGGCAGGAATTCGATTATATCACCGCATTCGGAACCAATCCGGTGAAATTTCTAAAAAATGCTCTAGACTCTACTTTACATTTAAAAAATATTAAAAAGTTATGTAATTTGTTGTAATTTATTTGTTTGTTTGTTATTGTTTAAGTTTAGTTTTGTCATTATGGTGTGTTCTGCGTTTACCAGTTATTAAAATTGTGAATTAGAATCTCTTATGAAAAAACCGTCAAGGACAATAATTCAAAATAATACCCAAATTAAAGGTTGTACTTTTATTATTAATACTTATACAGGGTGTTATTGAAAGGTACATACAACAAAATGGACAGTTTTTCGCGAAGTCTAAGAAGTCTGAAAAATTTATTTTGTGTTATCAAAATTATAAGGGGAAAATTAACCCTTATCCAACCTTTTTAGACGCTACTGAAGGATAAATACGTAAAATTAATTTATTTTAGTAAATCCTAGCAACTGTAACAATAAAACTTTTGTCAAGACTAAATGTTGCTATAGAAACGAAAGATGATCTTTTTATCACAGGCGTACAACGAATTTTTTACATAAATTTTAATAATTTTTATCTCTAAAAGGAGAACACTTTTACCTGAACTTTTTTTAACTTTTAGCACCCATATTTCGACACCAATTGGCGATTTTATTTTGTACGTACCTTTCAATAACAGGCTGTATAGCAAAATTTCTTCGATACATTTAGAACGTGGGAATTTTTGATGTCCCATGGGTGTATATTTTAGTGATGAATTTGTTGTAATTTGTGAAACAAAAACCTGAAAACAAATTGACCAAGATTGTTCGAAAAACCCCTAATTTTTCT